CTGACACGAGCTCTCAATTCCCTGTGTGGTCCTTGTACTGAGAGCTGCTCTGTGCATGTGTGCTGAATGTTCAAACGTCATTATTTCTCCTCTCACTCACGCTGCAGGTGACCTGTTGACTCACCACAGGGAATGAGATCCCTCACACTGCACAGACATGTCACATCACAAGTAGATGTAAGATGTAGACACGGAAAAAATGAATGTGCCACACACTGAAAACTCGGCTGAAGACTGACTTAAAACATATGAATCTATATATATATATAGTCCTTTCGAGTTATTGCACGCCTTTTTTCATGTTTTGTTTTTGACTGTATTTATTGCTATTAACAGAAACAGACTGCATTATACTGATGTGCAGACAATTCAGTTATGGAACATACATTTTGTGTTTTTGCAGAAGAGTTTCCTGACACACAAATACACTTCTTACACACAAGCTGATCCACACACTGTTACATTTCGAACTTAAAGTGGACCTATCATGCTATATTTGAATAATATAGTGTAGGACCATACCTATATAAGGCATATTTATACTTTTTTTTTTTTCAAAATACCAAACAGATCATGCATTTTAGCCATGCCTCATTTTGCTCAATTTGACAATTTCTAGCTCTGGGCTGATTCAGTGAGAACAGCACCATCTACTGGCCTGGCATATGTACTACAGCGTCTCCAGCGCTTTCGAACGGCAATGGCCGTGGCTGTCTCCTCCTGATTGGTGGAGTTGGCCCAATAGCCGTAGCGCCACCGTCCTGACGTCAGGACAGTGTTCAAATCTGGATCAGTTTTTATCAGATCCGTTGTAGCCCCTTTTTTAGAGATTTGGGTATGGAGGAAAATAGAGAGGGTTGTGTTTTCTGACACTTGGTGAGTTCCCTGGAACACCGGGGACACATATTCATGTATAAAAGACGTACAAATGTGCATTTTGCATGATAGGTCCCCTTTAAATAATATGATGATAAACATGAAGTTTGACATCCTTTGTAGACATTTCGAGAATCAGTCTAACCAAATCTGACATCATTGTTACTATTCAATCCCGTGTTAACACTACATCAAAGTAAGAACATTTCTCTCTGAGCACAAATGATCTCATTTACGAAACACATTCATCTTTCATGCAGAGCAGGCGTTCCTTTCCCTTAGAAAGTCATCAGTCTTTTTTTACATATTGGATCTCTTTAAATTATCGACACTACTACCTCGGCCTCATCAAATATTCATGACAAGCAAGGCAGCGATAAATAAAAACCAGACTGAGGAGAATAACTAATAAGACTTGGAGAAGGAAGGTCTCACCAATGGAGACACATTTTAACCTGAATGTTTTTTGTATCTATAAAGCAATTATATACTAAATCAATGTTACTGATCAGTGTTAGAGGTGTGTACATGTTTCACTTACTATTTCAGAGTCAAATAAAAAAAAAATCTGGTGGAAAGGTAGAAGCAGAAGGATTGGAAGTGTGTGCAACTGCAGCCTGTTTCCCAATACTCTCCGCGCCTTAGTGCTGCTTCATATCTCCCCAATCAAATATGTTGCAGTCACGCTGTGGACACACGCAAAGACTGGATCAATATCACGCCGTCAATATAATAGCACAATCCCACCTAAGGGGAGCAAACATATCTCTATAATATTGCAGGGGTTTGATGCTGCATTTGTATGATTATGCAACACATTGTAGTTCTGCAAATGTGCCTGGAGGCTTTTGTGTAATTCATCCCTTTTCTATTATGTTGTGTAATATGTGTTACATAATGAAAGGAACGCAAAAATAGCAGTCCATTATTTGGCTGACTGCCACAAGTAGAAACACTTATATTGCAATGAGTAAAACCGCAGTTAGAATCTTTTTCATGTTCAAACTAAGACGATTATATAAGCAATAGGGGAGGCGAGGTTTCCCAACGCTCGGTATGGCGTCTGGAGTTATCATATTTTAATGATGCGCCCCACACTGTGAGCTGTGTGAACTAAAAATACTGGACTGCATGATTTAGGGTAGGATTGTTGGGCAGATGGGATGTGGCTGTCCCTAAGGTACAGCTGTCATTCCAGATTAAATGTTGTGGGGTCTTGCAAACATGGCACTACTATTTTCCATTCGACTTAATGAGAAACTAAAATATCTGAACATTTTTTTCTGGCTGGTGGAAGGAGTGTCATATCAGCTCTTTCTGTGGAGGGAAGGACAAATCAAAACAACAGAATTGAAATGGTGGCTGGGGGAAAAGTAAAATATTCTTTCACATCCGGCACTGGGGGTTTACTGCTGGTGGAAAAATGTAGGTGACACATACTGGATATTTCTTGGGTCTCAGAACAATTTCAGAAACACAAAGGCATGAAAACCGGAATGATCTTATTAGCATGCAGCCTGGAAGCTGCTTTTCATAATTCCATCTAGCTGCTATAGAGACAGAAAACACAATAAGGAGGCTTTATCTTGATTTCAAAAGAAAACTGTTCCCTCTGCTGTCTGTCGGGGAAAAATAATGGAGTTACAAAGAAAGTCAGTCTGGTCTAGATCGCATACAAATAAGTTCAGCTTTTTCTTAAAAGGTTTGAAATATCCATGTTAATACCACTTAAACCACTTGTTTTATGTCTTCCACTGCTGTCTTTTTTTTTTACTCGCAATAAAATCCTAACTTAGTCCAGCTGTGTTTCAAAGACACAATGGGTTCATGGGGTTGACAAAATGAGTGTGGATGATTTAAAATGCTGCTTTTGTTTGATCTAAGGAGCAACACGTACATAAAGAGACAGACATATTGGACCCAGTTATTCATTTTTCTCGAGCTGTACTTTCATTGTTCCGTGAAGTTTTTGAAAGTCTGCCAACAGAAATATTCAGTGCTTACGTGTCCCATCACCACAGGTTATGAATATAATGTTATTTGAATTACAGTCTTTGTTTCCTGTGAGGATGAGGTCGATGTGGTGTAACAGGATAAAATCCCCCCCCCCCCCCCGCCCATCTCAGCTCGGTCAGCAAAGTTTGATTCAGGCGTTTATTGTGTCTCGCCCTGGGCAGATCCAGGGTGTTGTCATGGTAACATCCTTCCGTACAGGATCCCACACCTATGACCTTGTTAGATAAGTGAGAAGACCAGAGCAGCCCTGAAGTAAATCAGAGCCTTAGCTCCAACTATGTGCAACATGTGCAATATATATATGCCCTTAATAACTGTGCAATATATACCTGGCTGCTGCTAAATCCTCAGAACTGTTACAGGATGTGTTTTTTTTGTAAATTGTGCAACTTTTTTTATTATAGTCTTTTGTTATCTTTAATATGTATGCATGCTACTTAGGTAACAATGTACATTTCCCCTCTGTGGGACTAATAAAGGTATTCTGGTTCCAGCTTTATGTGGTGAAATTAAGTTTTGGGCATAAAAGGATATAATCATCAGGCACAGTGTTGATTAGTATATAGCAGAAGAGATGGAGGTCAGTGTCTATAAGCATCTGAATACCATCTTTAAATGACTGTATGGTGGAGTGCAATGTCTGTGACAACTATATGTTTATTTGTTAAATTATCATTTTTCAAAGTCATACAATATCTAAACGTCCCTTTTCTGTGACGTCACACACTACATTGTGTGTATTGACTGGAAGCCTTTACATGTCAAACAGAGCTGAATACGGTACTGTATCTAACCCAGCCAATTTATAGAACATAGCGTTATTCACGAAACTCACTTTAACTGTAAAAGTTTGAGCATCGTGCCACTTATTCTCCAGTTGATGTTAATGTGGTTTGAGAGCAACGTTGATTGAACGGCTAATAACTGTTCCACATACAAATTAAATGAGTGTCTGGTCTAACTTAAACTGGGTTATTTTGTGGTTTCCTGATGTCACAAAGTATGACGTAGTGGGCCAAGAAAACAGGATGTGTTTGATATGAATGTGCTGTTGCCGATAACCTGTGGCCGTGCATGCGCCCAAGTGTTTTTTCTTTGTTGCTCTGCAATGCACATGCATATTTCCCAGCTTTTAGATTCAATGTTTTTTGTACATTCTTATCCAATAGTGTAGAAATGGTATCCACATATTGAATACAACTAAACTCTGGTTTGGTTGCAAATGATTTCATTACTTTAAGCTCTTTTCGTACTTTAATCTGGTCTTCAACAAATGAAAAGTCAGGTGATTGACAGTTTAGGACGGTCCACTGTCTGGCCTAAAAACACATTGTGTTACGTGTGTGTTTGGGAAATAATTTCTGGCTGAATTGTACTTCAATTGTGGTGATAGGAATGAAGCGCTACTTGTCGTTCATTGTTTATCCAATCCGAATGGAAGCCCTCACAAACTGTTGCCCACTATGGTGGAAATCTCTGAAAAACCATGCCATTTGTAAAACTTCAGTGCATGTGAACTCAGCTGAAATGGGAAAGGTTCCATTTTCTAGTTTGTAGGATTTAGGAAAATGAGGTTTTTGACTCAGTAGTATCAGTACCTTTATATCATGTAAGCCTGGCTGAGACAGCCAACAACAAGTCAGGACAGCCATACAGAAATAAGCTCTCTTAATCCTCTTCACTTCTGCACCTCTGCTTTTCAAGTCTTTCCGATCCAGTTAAGGTTAAGGAGGAGGAAGCACACTGCCCCACAGGATAGATAGGCTGCTAAGTAGAGAAAGTGTGCCACCTAATGGAGATAATGTAGCACTGCCTTCCTCATTCAGTCTCTCCCTCACACAGTTTGTTTTTGTTTCTCTCTCTGTTCCCAAATGTATCCTCTTTACTTTAGTGCAGCTTTGTGTGATAAGTATACTATATTATACTATATATAATATCAGTATGTTGGTCCTGTATTGAGATATATGCAAATAACTTGATCCAATTCCTCCATTCAGTTTTTTTGCATCATGGATTTGTGGCAAAAATACATGTTTAAAATTCAGTTAACAAGTAATTCAAATTAAGTAACCTTTTATTAATACCTTTTTTCTTGTCCTCTTTCTCAGGTCCAGTATCCCACACGTTTGAGGCTTGGATAGTGTTCATCCGTGTTGAACTACAGTCAGTTCCTGCAGCCTGTAGCTTCATGGAGGGGTTTCCTGTCCACTGACCTCACGGGACCAGCAGCCATGTCCGCTTGCAGCACCTTCACAGAGCACGTGTGGAAACCAGGCGAGTGCAAGAACTGCTTTAAACCGAAGAGTCTGCACTCTCTGTCTCAGAGTGGTGGGAGGAAGCCTCCCTCTGAGCAGAGGCCTACTACAGTTCAGCAACAGAATCCACCCCCTGCTGGGGCCAGAGCCAACCCTAACTTAACCATCAACTCCCAGAGAGCTGGCAGTGGTTCTGCGCGCACAGGACACGTACGTCCCCCGGTGGCTAAGAAGCCAACGATTGCGGTTAAGCCCACCATGATGCTGCCCTGCTCCTCTGCAGGATTGGATTCAGATGGCAATTTACAAAGACCACCACATGTGATGGAACAAGGCAACATTTCAGCCTTCACAGTTTGGAATCGCAATGGAATGAACCGTAAGAGGCCTGGTGGGCCCAGCAACAACAACGAAGGAGAGGATGGCAGTGAGGAGATTGAAGGTTATGGACAATTTAGCCCAAGGACCCCCAGTGGAAATAACAACAGTGGACTTACAGATGTCCTAAAGGAAATCGCTGGGTTAGGCCCTGGCTTTAGCCCTGGCTTTAGCCCTGGCTTTAGCCCCACAAACCCTTCTGGTTCCAAGGACTTGTTTTGGGGACGTATTAGTAGTTCATACAGACGCTCCTTGGAAAGAGGCCTTCCAGCCTCAAGCTGTCGTGCCATGGGAAGCAGCGGCTGTGGTGGTGGTGGTGGCACTCCTCACAAACGGGTATCCCTTAGCGATGGCTCTAAGGTCATCAGCACAGAGGGTGGTCGCTATTGCTACCCCGAGTTTTCCAGTGACGATGATGACGAAGAGGATGATTATGATGAAGAGACTGAAAGGGATGATGAACATGAGAGCTGGGATGAAAGTGATGAAGAGTTACTAGCCATGGAGATCCGTATGCGAGGCCAACCACGTTTTTCTATTTTCCGTGCCGCTACATTGTCTCCGGTGCCCTTTGCTGCAGGTAAGAAGTGGAATACTGTGCCACTTCGCAACCGCTCACTACAGCGGATTTGTGCAGTGGACTATGATGATAGCTATGATGAGATCTTGAATGGATACCCATCCCTGGACTCCAATGGGGCGCTTCTTCCCTATCTGACCCATGACATGCAAGGCAGTGGGTTCCTATCAAACTCAGAGTCTACCACCTCTCCGGAATCATCCTCATCGCTACCAGAAGATTCTCGAACAACTTCCAGCAGTGGGAGCAGTGCTCCTTGTGCTCTTCGAAATGGCTTGCATTCTCCCATATCTCCTAAGGCACCTGTCCCCTGCACTTCGCCTCTAAAAAAGGAGCCCGTCCAGAAAGCACTGAGTCCCCTCAAGGTGACTGAAACACACAAGGCTGTCCTGGCCATTAGGTTAGAAGACCAGGAAGGAAGAGAAGGCTTGCCTATGCCCCAGGCCCTTCCAGGTCAACCAGTCACCATCAGCTTTAGTCCCACAGAGGAGCAGGCTAAACCGTACCGTATAGTGAATTTGGAAAAATCCCTAATCTGTAAGCCTTACACTGTAGTGGACGTGTCAGCATCCATGGCCAACAAAGAAGAGAAGACTTCAGACTCTACTCCAAAACTCAAAAAACTGTCAATGCCTACCAGCCCCACATCATTCTGTAACGCTCCTAAAGGTCATCCCCTCTCTCCAACCTCCCCACTTTCTCCTTCTTCGCCTGCGATGCCAACATCCCCCACATCTGTAGGTCTGCCAGGTAACTCCCGGAAGAAATCAGGGAACATACGCTACCAAGAAGTGTGGACATCAAGCACAAGTCCTCGCCAAAAAATACCTAAAGTGGATCTCGGGGTTAGGAATAATGCTGGCCCCTCCATCACTACTCAACACTGCAGCCACAAGTCAGCTCCCACTTCTCCCATCGCTGGGCTACCTTCTTCACGAACTGTCCCTGTGAAACCCTCCAACTTCTCAGAGATTAAGTTTAACAGTTTCAATAATGCCGGCATGCCTCCTTTTCCTATTATTATTCGAGATGAACCAGCTTATGCCCGCAGCTCCAAGAATGCCGTTAAGGTACCTATTGTTATCAATCCAAGTGCATATGACAACCTAGCTGTGTACAAGAGCTTCTTGGGACTCAGTGGGGAAATCCCACAGCCAAAAGCGGTGGGCAGTAGAGTGGCCAGCCATACCTATGAAGAGATTGGATCCTCTGAGAGCGTCCAGTCCTCCTCCACAGAGAAAACTATCTCTGGTCGAGGCACATCAGAGCGAGCGTCTTCTGAAGAGACAAAATGTCCACCTGAGGCAGCGTCAAAAGCCCCAAATGTCCAACCTAGAACCACTACAGACTCTAGCACTGTGACAAGCACTGTGGTGAGCTACACCGTTGGCGCCCTCTCGCCCACTACACAAACAAATTCCCCTGCATTTCTTTCCAATACTGCAAACCTACCTAAAGCCAGCCCAACTGCCAATGCTGTTACACATGCTTGCAAGACAAGTGGAGACAATAAAGATGATCATACAGACTTAGCTGTGTCTTCTGTGGTAGTGGTAAGCCAAAGGGAGGAGGCCAGTGCTGTGCTTTTACAGATTGTGGCTTCCATTCATCCTCCCTTGTCTCCTCCAGAGTCGCCCTCTGCACAAGCCTATACCGACGGTTCTGAGGAGCTGTATGCCCTCCCACCTGATGCCATGAAGGAGACCCTCACCCGACCCAAGTCTCTCTTTTCAACAACCGATGGCTGTCTTTCCAAACCCAAGAAGGAAACGCCCACAAAAGTGTTATCTAAATCCCAGAGTGCCTCTGCTGCTGTCCCACTCTCCAGCCCCCGGTCAGAGCCCAATGCCCCCTTCCCTCCTCCTAGATCTACGTCTTCCCCTTACCACGCATCTAACATCCTGCAAAGACATTTTGGCAACTGGACCAAGAGCTCTGCGTCCAGTTCTCCTGTACGACCAAGTGAAGTTGAAGCGAGTCCAGGTGCAGAGGGGAGACGTATTTCAAATGAAAGCGCCAAACCCAAGCGCTGGATCTCCTTTAAGAGCTTTTTCCGTCGGCGGAAAGACGAGGATGAGCAGAGAGAAAGGGCGGAGAAAGAGAAGGAGAAAGGGAAGATAGTTGGGCTTGATGGAACAGTCATTCACATGCTTCCACCACCACCAATCCAACAGCACCACTGGTTCACCGAGGCCAAGCCAGAGGATCCCACCCAGAAGCCGACAATCATCTTCACCTACAAACCAGAAAATGGCAGCGCCCCAGATGAAGAGGAGGGAGAACTACGAGTGGAGGAGTGTAGAGAAAATGCACTGCTGACATCTGATGAGAGTAAGGAATGCAGAGCTCTGAGCCCCGGGCGAACAACACCCTCTCACAACACTGGAAGTGATGTCATCAGCAAGGATCTCAGGTATTTGTCTAAGATTTGTTCAAATACTCCTGACACCACTGTTTTATTTAAGAGATTCCCAATGACCAAAGACTGCAGAAGACTCCCAATTAATCTCCAACAAAATAGACGTAGTCATGGGAAACTTGTCTCTTTGTAATATTTAAGGATTAATTAGGGTCAAGTACACACTTGTAGATCAAAACCTGTAGGATTGTGGCCCCAGAACAGAATGAAGTTATGATGCTCTGTAGAAAGATTAACCTGAAGTGATTTCAACAGAAAATAAGCTAACAGGGATTTAAAGGGTGAATGATACTTTGAGCTGCTGTCAGAAACATATTGCTTAAAGGTAGGGTAGGTAAGAATGGAGAAACCAGCTCGAGTGCGCTAGAATTTGAAAGTACGCAGCCGAAAAAAATCTGCCCCTTCCTTCAGACTTCCTTACAGAGCCCCTCCTCCAACACACACGAACGCGCACATGACCAATGAGGGCACGAGATAAGTTTGTGCACGAGATGGAATGCTGACAGGCAGGTAGGCCATCCAGTTATTTCAGCCGGGCCGGCTCAGATGATTGGTCGTGCTTTTTACAGCGCCACGGCTTCCACAGATGAAATGTTTTTATGTATTTATTGTCAAAGCATTTCATGTATTTATTGCTATCGGGATGTTAAGAGCATTCCATGGAATATAACAAAAGGTGTTTCTGAAGTGAATTACCTACCCCACCTTTAAACATAAATCGCTTCAACACATATTTTCATTAGGACCTGTAGTTTAATGATTTGTATCTATCTAACCACTCATATGTTCCTATATAACCTCTTGCTTATCTAATTAATGATTTCACATCACTGCTCTTATTACTATCACCCACATGGATTCCCACAGAGCATTCATGGCACCCAGCTTGAAATTAGCATGCTCCAACTTTGCCAGCTGCTTCCTCCAAAGAGCAGGGATGTTTCTCCCCCTTCATACAGATCCCTTATTACAGATTCTAGAGGTGTTTGATCTTAATGTGGCATGTCTGCTCAACCACTTGCCCGAGCGACTGCATGGACTGTACAGGTCTCTTCCTTAATGCCATGTATTACCTGAGCAGCAGGCCTCTGTGCTCAGCGGTCCTCCCATCAGGCGGGATCCTCAGTGTGTTACAAGTCATCCAACATCACTGGGATCAACCTTTGCTCTATTAATCACTACTTTTAGATGGCATATTACCTTTAAAATATGCAGACGCCCTCACATACAACCACACTCACTCACAGTGATCGTTGTACTTGGTCGAATAGTCACAGTATTATTCATGATGAGTTCATTATCGGTTTGTGACCTGCTGTTGCCCTTTGTGTTTAACTTCTGGGGGTAAGCTTCCTGCAGTGTGACTAATGGTGCCAGATACAAATAACCCAGATGTGTCGGATACACTGTATTTCCTGTTCTAAATTAAAAGCTGGTTTCTGCTGAACATGACTTGTTGTGCCTTAAATTAAGCTAAGTGCTTAGAAATGCTCCTAGATTGCAATCAGTCAAATGGATGCTGATGTGGGCAAGAAAAAACAACATCATTTATCAGGAAAGCTGAATAGTGAAAGCACTAATAATGTGAAAGTACTAATCACTTAAAACACTGTGATGGAGAATGCACTCATTCATTTTGTGTTAATCAATGTTTTAGCAAACAATTTACAAGCTTACTGTTTGTTGATAGCAGAAAAAATACATTTGGCCTTCAGATACGCCATGTACATGATTGGATCCAGAGTGAAATAAACCTTGTAATCAGGCAAAGAAAAGTCACTGAAACGAGACAGTGTGCCGCCTCCGGACTTTTTCAGACTTGTATTTTTCAAATGTAATTTAAATCTAAGTGTCAAAAAGCATCCCAGAGCAAATGATTAGGAATTAGAAATATTAAATAGATGCCATACAGCATAGCTTTGTTCAGTTCTTCTTCATCTTCTCACCTTCAAATGTTGACTTCCAACTCATGCTGCCTGTATCTAGCATGGATTTCCACCATCACCGTCTCTATTACAAGTCATTTTTTACCCTTTTCCATGCCTTCCATATCGCATATTTCTACTTTGAGCCCATAGCACTGTGAACTCTGGAATATTTCTGTCCTTTATTCTGTCAAGAGCTCGTCCCCATTCTGTCTCATTTCTAGCTACCTTGCTTTTTCTCCCCTCACAAAGTTTCAGCTCTAGGCACCATCTTTTACTTCCAGAAGTTTCTTTCTCTTCCATCACTTACAAGTAGTACAAGAATAAAGTATTTCCTAGTTTTGCTATTAATGTGAGTTATTTAGGTAATGTTATGCTCAAATGGGGTATATGACGGTGTACTATAACTATTTTAAAGTGCATTACCCAAAAGTTTTATGCCTTGATTCAAAGAAAAAAAAATGTTTTCAACCACTTCCTACCGAGGATAAAAATGACTAAAATTACGTTTGTTAGTCTGCGACCTCAAAGGAGTTTTTTAACATCAATACAGAGTTTTGTTTTCCTAGCTGATGTTGGCAATAAAGACAAACCGATGCAGTATTACACATTCTTAATATTGCTTTTTTTTTATATTGATTAATGCACACTAGGGAACATCGGTCTCTTCACAAAAACTGCTTTTTGACATTTTTGATTTAATAGTTGAAAAAACGCTTATTACAATTTTCTTTTTTTAAATAGGTTAGAAGATACATATATTCTATCTAGCCACAAACTTACTTCACTGTGGTTTCAGATTCAACACATAACACTTTGAAGTATCTGACCTTTGGTCTAGCGTTTCCTATTTTCTTTACACCTGCCACTTTTCTAGTGACCTTGTTGTTTACAGCCCTAACTGTGAACGTGTCAATGAGTAACTAAGTTATTCACATAGTGTGTTGGTAGTAGCTTACAGTGTTACTCCCCTGTGTATTTGATGTTTATCTCAGGTATTGGCACATGGATTTGAGTTGACCCATAAACAGAGAATAACTAAACCACTCCTGAGTTGGTGAAATGTGGTTTACACGCAGACATTTAAGGAATAGGACGTTGTCTTTAATAGATAGTGTGATTGTTATTAACTAGGTCTCTGCAGTTAAAAGGTTTTATAGATGTGTTGTTTGTTAAAAGCAATGATTCTGCCTACTACTGCAACTCAACAGCCTTTCTAAAATTTGGATTTTGTCCAACCAAAATTGTTTCTAAATTAAGCAGTCAAGCTGTTCGTCTGGACACAAAATTACTTTTTTTCAAATGTATTTTGTAGTAAAAAAATAATAATTTTCAGTTACTTACCAACCTGAGCTGTCTGTGGGTAAACAGACCAGCAGGTCAGTGATGTCATGCCTTACAGGTCATTCTGCAGACCTTTTGTTTTGGTTGGCAGGTGAAGGGTTAATCCTTGCTGTTTTTTCTTTTTCTGAGAGCACTTTTATTGGCTAACCATGGGCGTGCTCTTCAATGCTAGCAAACACTCATTACCTTAGGCAGGTGAGAGCATTCAGAGAGGGAAAACAGAGGCAGACAAGGAAGGGACATATGCAGGGAAACACTTTCTGGATTCTTTGCAACCGAACAGCCTGCAACCACTGCTCTGCCTAGGATGTGAATTCAACTTAACCTTGCATTCAAGGTTTCCAGATGGGAAGCTGTGTGAGCCAGTACAGTGGGTAAGAACTACAGCCCTTTTCTTTCATGCACTTCTGTAAATACCTGTGACTATGCAGGCCATATTGACTTAGCAGGGAGGAGAGGTTTCTTCAGTATATGTTATATTTGTTTTTAAGGATCAGAGATTGTTCATTTCTCAGACAGAAGTCTGTAAAACCGTGAAATGCATTGCAACAGCTTTGTGCCGTCTGAACAAGTCAGGTCCTGACATTGAAACGTGTAGCAGCCATAAAGGTATTTATTGTGTCAAGGGCCTCTCAAAGTGTGTACTAGCCACGCTGGATGTTGTGCTAGAGATAGACTTCTTTGTGATCTATATTCTTTTGATTCGTTTTGTAGCTGACTCTAACCCATTAATAGTCTAGTTTGCAGTAAAGGATTGTTAATTGTTTTACCCTTGTGTATAACACAGTGCAGTTTTGTTCAGTTAGTTAAAACCAGAACCATTAAATGATTTATGTTCACCGCACATGGAGGAATAAAAGAGGAAACTTATACAAGAACGGGAAACAGCAGATTTCTTTCATGGCAAACTTTCTGCATTCTATTTTAACACACTGCACTTCAGGACATGCTATTTTGTATATTTAACTCGTACTTTACGCCTCCATCTTTTCACACTTTACTTACTCTTCCTTCTGAAATGCTCACAACAATTTGAAGGGCCTTTTATATCAGCTGTCCGCCGCTGCCAAGTGCTAAAGTAACTCAGAGGCTATTGATCGCCTCTTTTTAACAGAGACACAGAGGCCTTGTGGTCTACAAAGACAGATCATAAACTTGTCAGATCAGCAGTTTTCCTCAGACACAGCCCGAGGGCCGCGACAGACTAATGGACAGCTGGGGGTTTACTTCGAGTGCCCACTTTGCTATCACTTCATAATGAAACTATTGCAATAACACTACCAACATTTGTGTTATTACAAAAGAACCAATGGACAGATTAACATTGCATTTGAATTGCCACAAGATCATTTTATTAGATTTTATAAAAAATTGTTTACAACTCAACACAAAAATGTTTTCTTAGAAAAAAGTATTATTTGGCCCAAATGTACATGTAGCCATTAACAGTTTGGTTCTCTTCATGATATATTGCTCTTTTTTTCTAGGCACAAAAATGGGTTCAGTTGACCATTTAGTGTTCTTTGAGATATCAAATGACCTAAACTTCAATTTCAGGAAATCAACAAATATCTCTTTTAATATCTGAGTCAAGGCCCACATGAAGGCTTTAGCACTTGATTTGAGCCTTTCAACAAATAAGTGCAAATACAGTCACTGCCCAGCTTTTTGGTGTAAAATCTAACTCTTGTGTTTCCTAGTGCTGGACACTGTAAACAAATGTGCTAATGGCCACAAACATTCACTTTGACAAAGCCCTCTTTGAGCTCTGCTGTCTCATGACCTCTGCTGTTTATCAACAGGGACATTGCCTTTGTTCACATCATTCATTAGTCATATGGGCAACATGTTTGTTCACACTTCCAGTCATAGGAAATGATACATCTGATTCAGACTCGACAAACATTACTGTCAACCTGCCCCACCCATGACGACACCTGAGGCTATGAAAGCAGCTCTTTGAACTTTTTGTGACCTTTTTTTTTGGCTGTTGATCAAAACTCAAAACCGCAGCGACAGAACAGGGAACAATACGCCGCCACAGCAATCTGAAACTCACTGCAGGGCCAGCCACTTGATCAAAAGCTACGTACTTTCTGCATTACAATAGGAGTTCAAATCTACTGTAAGTTTAGAATGTCACCCGACCTGGGGGGGACAGCAGGTAGCCCGAGGCTGTAATGCTTTACTCAGGTCACATTGAAAAGCCGCGTCTTGTGAACTGTTATAACATCAGGGGGCACTACCCAGGTTGCTTTGAGTATCTTATTAACTGTGATCAGACATGCAGACTGATCACAGATGGCTCTCCATGAAGCACCAGCTGCCGAGGTTCATTCAGCGAAGAGCAGCGAGACACGGATACCCAGGTGACTGCGAAACAAAACATTGCTTTTGACTTGATGTCGTATTGTAAACTTTAATTAAAAGTTAGGCTTTGTTAAGCAACATGGCTTTTAGCTCTATACTTTAGCCAGTTGTCTTTTATAATTTGTATTCTGTAAAGCAAATTGTTATTGTTTTTGCATTTCATATGTTTGCTATATTGCAAAACGTTCCTAGATGTGCTCTGCTGATTATTCTTTTGTGATGGAGGGCTATATCAAGAATGAACTCAATGCGTTTATCAGCTCTTGAGGAACCAATGATTGTATCTACATTTGTATTTGCATTGTCATTTAGGGGATAACAGTTAGCCGGTTAGCTTGCGAAATATTAGAAATTGTAAAAAAAACAGCAGATGAGCAACTTTCATAATAACTATACAACAATCGGAAGACACCTTGGTCAATATTTGACAATAAAGACTCTACCGCGCTTTTACCAAAAGTTTATAAAAATATATTTTGTCTTCATTGATACATTTTCAGTTTTTTGCAAACATATTGTACTGTATGTACATTCAATTCAATTAAATTCAAAACCTTTATTTATCCAGGTGAAATCCCATTGAGATCAATGATCTCTTTTTCAGGGGAGACCTGCAGATTTCAATTCAATTTTACTCACCAAAACAAATAGTCTGTTACATTCAAACAAACATGTTGAATGCGTTTCCTTCCTGATATCTTTTTTAAAGTATTTTTCAGAGTTACATTTAAGACATCCATGTTTACTTCTGGACATTTGGAAATAGTGGGAAACCATTGTATTTGAACGGCATCACATTTGCTTGCTTGTCAGTTTTGTTTGTCTCATAAAAAATGCTATGTGGCATTGCAAATGGTCAATAACTTCACATAGTACCTTTATGACATGACATACAGCGCCCCGTGGGCAATTATGTTCCTGTCATTACCTTACAGAGACACATACTGTGGGGCCTATCTGCTGTATAACTTGCATCACATGTAGCAATGAGCTTCAGTATACGACAAGTCTTATCATAGCTCCCCCAGGGCTTTCACACTGTGCAATCCCAACACTCTGTGATACCACAGCCTGAGATACTGTGAGATATGACCCACATCATAGAGTCTACAACTGAGCCACTGTCAGCACATAATGAAGTGTAAGGCAACATATACATATTCATCATAATGTTCATCTACTGCATCTATTATATATTCATCTGACGTAAGTCATCGTGAAGAACAGCATTACTCTGAGACATAAAACACAACAAATCATAAAGAGGACAGTCGTCGTGTTTCATAATGCTACAATTTTTTTAGAGGAGACAGTTTGCATTAATTTCAATGCACTTTAAATATGTCTGTCAGCTGACAAGGATATATTCTTTTGTCTAATCTTGCTAAGTTTCAGAATGCCTCAATACACTTCTAAATCTGTGTTAACTATCCTATTCTTTAAACAATCTACTGTGACAGATTAAACGTTTCCCACCTCTTTAAACACAAATCAAAGACACCCATTGTCGCAGATTGGTTTTCAAAACATAGTGTTGTGTTACCTATAAAACACACCGTGCTTCAGAAACCCCCCATTTAGAGCCGTGACTGATCTAATTCATCACTTTTTGAGAAGAAAGACTTGAGTTGATGAAGTGAAGTCTTTTCATATCCTTTGATGTTTGATAGTGATCTGTAAGACAAAATGAACGCTAACCAAAGCTGTCTTCAATAGCATCTCGTTTTTCATCGATCAACATTACTGTCTCGGCATAAGAGCTTAGTGTTATCACTTTGTTCTGTTTTTATTTGTTTTGGCAGATATTTAATGTCAAATTGAACCCTATCACCAACAGAAAGATGAACAAACTCAATCGGTTTTAAAAAATAACAAATTCCGATTGATCGGAACTGTCATTGCGATTACAGAGGGATTGATCATTAATGCATTGCTCTTTTTATCATAGGAAATACAAGGAGAAATTATATTTTGTGAAGTCTGTAGAATGCGATTTATAGGCCTAGAAATCCCTACAGCTCCAAAATCCTTCATTCCAAAAGGTCTTTGATAAATCTCTAGCCTCCTTATATTTTAATATTGCACTATTAAAGGTCACCTATTATGCAAAATCCACTTTTTCATGTCTCTTATACATAAACATGTGTCCCCTCTGTGTAAAGAGATTCTGAAAGTTTCAGGAAAAAAGATTCTCTCTCTTTTTGTCCTGATCCATTTATATAAAAACCTGTCTGAAAATGAGCTGATCAGATTTTGGCCACTTTATGATGTCATAACTATTTTCTTGGCTTGTGTAACCATTAGCCAATCACCAACCAAGGTAACCCCCCCCCCCCACCTTATCACCTGAATCTCCTCCTAGAGCACCATTGTGTTCTTTTTAACCAAATATCTCTCAGAGGGGCGTGGGGAGGGGCTCCTTATTTTCATCTAAAGTAACAGACAGAGAATCAGCACTTTTGAAACAGGGCTGAAACAGAGGGGATTATGGGATGCTGCAATGATCTGTTTGGTATTTGGAGCCAAACACTTCAGAGACATGTTTTGTATATATCTGAGACCTATAATATATTGATGAAAAACAGTATAATAGGGGACCTTTAAGTCAATATTGCTTATTCAATAACATTTCAAATAATTGTGCAGCCCAGGAAAATATCATAGATCACGAACATGGTAAGAAGGAAAGCAATACTAGTTTAATCCAGCTGTTCTTTATAACTAAATTCCTGTCTCTCTCATCTGCAGCCAGGTACCAGTCAGTGGCAGCGCTGCCAGGGATGGGGGGGGGCCAGGCGCCTCCCTGCCTGCCAAAGTGAATCTGGGGCTGCTGCTCGGGGAGGGAGAGGAGGGTCCGGCCAACCAGGTCTCCACGGCAGCCTCAGCCAGCGAGGGCAGTGCCAGCCTCGGAGAGCCCGAGGACGACGGGAATCACTCCCCCGCCTCCAGCCAATGCAGCGCCACATACAGCAACCTGGGTAAGAAGAACACAGCACATATGCATTGTTGGGTTTTAACTGGTGTATCATACAAATGAAAGCATGGTTTTAAAATAGCACTTGTACAGGGCTGTGTAGGTAGGGGAACCCCAAAGTCTCCAAGCTCTTATTGTTCAAAAAAGCATGTATTTTTTTGCTTAGGACTACCCTCTCACAAAAATGACATAACAGCCACTACTTTACAAGTTTACTGATTTTAAACAAAATTAAAGTCATAATGCTTCCACATAGCGTTTATTTATTTGTTATTTACAGCAAGCATCTTCACTATACTCTTCAAAGCATTGAAACAAAGTTATGTAGTTAGACCCCATAGTCTAATTCGCGTTAGATTGTTGTATTGATTTGTATAATTTGAAACTGAGCACAGATTATTTTTAAAAGCACCACATTTCTCCTTACAGATGCTCTGTTTGCCATTTCTGTAAGACTTACTTTAGTCAGCGGGTGAATTTTGTAAGAATATGTCTCTCCACACAATTGGCAGTTCACTTCACTGCTAAAGGGCTAATTATACTTTTCTTCAGCACCTGCACCTCCACAAGTGACAAGTCGTAATTTATTCCCTGTTGAGCTCTAGATCTCAACACATCCATCCTGTAACTTGGGATCTAGAATACTTCAAAATATTGTATGTTTATTAAGGGTGAACATGTCCAGAGATTAGTTCCTATTTTTTAAAGATCAGAACCATTTGTTTCTGGCTATTCAAAGAAGTGGATCCCTCACTCACATAAATCAACATTTATGTACATGTGTTGCTCCCTCTGTGTCTCATGCCATTTGTGTCGTTCTCTTGTTGGGTTTCTGAAACCATGGGATGATTGAAGCTTTGGAATTAGGGCTGCACTATTAGCCACATTACAACAGAACGTATTGCATGACTGACCACGGTGCTGCTATTAGTGTCATGAAAGCTTTTAGCCTCAAATGAAATCTGAGACTAATTATTATCCTGTCTTTGTTCATGACATTCCTAATTGCTTGGTCTGACAAGGCATTTCTTTAAGTCCACCACCCCCAAATGTCGAGCAAGACAGCAATTTTCAGATTGTTTCTATTGTGGACTGCAACATCACATTCCTGAAATACCATGACAACAAAGTTCCTCCATTATATTCTCTGTTTGGGGGCCTGTTTGTGACTAGTTGACAGTAGACGTGACATTTCGTCATTAGACTTTGTCAGCAGCTGAGGACCAGCTTTTGATGTGCAGGCTTTTTGAAGCAAAGATAGAAGCAGCAGCTATTTTTGACACAGCTGTCAAACATGGCTGGCCACTTAACACATCAACCTAGCTCTGTTGGTGAAAGAACTTCGCTTGGATGAAGTGGTGGTGGGAAAAAATGGACGTGGATAGTCTGGGTTTGTGGAGCAGATACAGTACTAAGGTCCTTCATATGTGTGATATTTTAATATGTGGCTTTTGTGAAGGAATTGACTGGAGAAACTGTGTTTGTGTTTAAATGTCAATGTTACACTAGTTTTTTATGAATATCCGACTGATGTGCAGGCTTTTTGAAGCAAAGATAGAAGGAGCAGCTATGTTTGACACAGCTGTCAAACATAGCTGGCCACTTAGCACATCAACCTAGCTTTTTTTGGTGAAAGAACTTCGCTTAGATGAAGTGGTGGTGAGAAAAAATGGACATGGAAAGTGGATAGTGTGGGTTTGTAGAGCAGATACAGTACTAAGGTCCTTCATGTTTGTGAGGTTTAAAAATATATGTGGCTTTTATGAAGGGATTGACTGGAGAAACTGTGTTTGTGTTTTTTTATGAATCTGACTGCACACTGGCTCTTCTGGTGGATATATTTTGAATATGTTAAAAGCTCTCTGGACGAGTTATAATGAGCTGCCTGCCGCCTGATTTTACTCGTCTTCGTGCTGCTAATAAGGAACGTGGCAGGAGGGCTTTCAAACATTGTTCAGTAACACTACACATGTTCACCGTAGTGTGTGTGTGGCCTTTACGATTGACAACCTTGTCTCTGAGTGGGATTGAAGTTTCCAATTGTGTCTTGTCTATTGTCAGATGAGCACTAAAACTAGTGATTTGCCTTCGCTCTCTGCTGTACACTTGCTTCTCCAGTAATACTCTCAGTTCGCACATTTCAGTAGAGAATCACATCCTCTTAGAGTCTCTCTCTCAGTATACGGCACACTGGTGTTTTAATCAGAGCATCAGGCAGTAGGAGGCAGAGCGCTCGCTGCCTCGCTCACAGACAAATCTCCAGTATTGGTGGGAGCGCTGAGCCTGTTGGCACCAGCAGATTCTCAGAGATGGAAGCAGGGAGGGATGCTTCACTCTGCTTCACGTTGCACACCATTTACCTTAAAACTTTGAGGCATTAGTGGACTTGAGGTAGGCTCGTTTTTCCTCCTTATCTTTCAGTAATCATCTCTTTCACCAGCTGTCCCCTTTGTGTGTCTCTGTTTTCTTCCTGCTCACCCCCTTGCCTATTTATATATCTCTTTCTCTGTCACTTCTCTCACTTTTACCATCTCGAGCCACCCCCACCTCTGCTCTCACTTCCTTTCTCCTCTCTTTTCTTCTTTATTCTACCCACCGCCTGCATCGTGTTTTTGAACCATGAGGACTGAACAGTAATCACTGGGCTACGGCAACAAGTTCCTTCATCTGCTTATCATATATTGTGCTCCAGAGTTGCAAATGGGATTGTCTTAAAAACTGGAATTTCTATATATAGCAATTTGTCTGAGTGTGTTTTTCAGATTTGGATTAAGGTAATAGAAAGCCAAAGCGAAGGAGTTGTTTCAGACACTTAAGGCTTTTGATCACGAGGAGAAGAAAATACAATCATCCTTTTAATCCGGATAAGATTCTGGAGAGGTTTTGACACTCTTTTTCCCCATGGAGAAGGACACAGGTCAGAAGTTCAGTTGAGCATCACTGTGTTGTAAATTGAAAATAATGACGTTGTTTTCTGTTTCAATTACTGCGCACAACTTTTCAGTCACAATATTTTGAGGTTTTTGCTTTTTAGGATGCATCATATAATAATTTATCAAAGATTGGATACCAGGTTAGATTTCGTATTCCTTAAGAATAAGCTAAGAACATTTTGTATTATGTTTAAAGTGGACCTATCATGCTATATTTGAATAATATAGTGTAGGACCATACCTATATAAGGCATATTTATACTTTTTTTTCTTCAAAATACCAAACAGATCATGCATTTTAGCCATGCCTCATTTTGCTCAATTTGACAATTTCTAGCTCTGTTTTTGCAAGGGCTGATTCTGTGAGAACAGCACCACCTACAGGCCTGGCATATGTACTACAGCGTCTCCAGCGCTTTCGAACGGCAATGGCCGTAGCTGTCTCCTCCTGATTGGTGGAGTTGGCCCAATAGCCGTAGCGCCACCGTCCTGACGTCGGGACAGTGTTCAAATCTGGATCAGTTTTTATCAGATCCGTTGCAGCCCCTTTTTTTAGAGATTTGGGTATGGAGGAAAATAGAGAGGGTTGTGTTTTCTGACACTTGGTGAGTTCCCTGGAACACCGGGGACACATATTCATGTATAAAAGACGTACAAAAGTGCATTTTGCATGATAGGTCCCCTTTAAATGCCCTTTGTTAAACCCCTAGGGATTACAATGAAAAGTGTATTAAAATAGAAATAATGGAACACAGTTTGTTAATGTTTGGTAATGGGAAAATACTTCCCAACTATTTATTCAGTATAAAGCAAAATAAGAGGAAAATAAATTACAGACGTCCAATTCAGGCTCTGAAAACATTTTGATGCCCATTTGTTGTATATCAAATTGAAAAATAACAGACTAAACTATATATTGATTGAGCAATTGAAAAAATAATTAGCACATTACTTAGCCATGTGGGGTTTTCTGTCCCCCCCCAGCAGGTTGTTTAACCATCACTTTTTATTTCTGAACATTAAAGTATGACTTTTTTACATTCACAAACTGAGTTAGTCTGATGTCATTTAGTTACAGCCACACTGCTGCCATAGAAGTTGCCTCTGACTTGAAGAGGGAGGTTGTTTCTTGGATGGATTACTGCAGATTGGTGGAGGAACACATTAAATACACCCGTTCCAGGGAGGATTACCAAGACTCATTTACTTCATCCTGACTGCTCTTTCTTAAGGCTCCGTCTGCTTTCTTAAAAATGATGTCAGCGTCAAGCACACGTGATGAGTCACTCGTAGCGTTTAACAAGAATCTCTGAAAGGCATTTGTTCGAGGGAATGCCTTCATCGTAGGGATGGAAGATCATTTGGCAGACATCTTAAAACACTCAGCAGCCTCTCATCGTGATCCTCCTAGAAACTGGGGTACTCCCTGGTGAGTTTGAAGATGTGCATTAGGGTTGTCTGTGACCTCGTACACCCGCTCAATTACTGTAAAACTATGAGGCTGTTATATTCCCACAATGCAAGTGGCACGGCTCCTTCGGATCTTTTCATATTGCAGCTTGTCTCTGACACATCTGCCTCTGTGGTCCTTCACTCAAGAGAACATGGAGGTAGTCTAATCAACCCCTCAACCCTTCACTTCCCTCCCACCACCAGCAGCCCAGAAAAATAAGGTCACTGATGGATGCGCTCTACGCTGCCTCTTTAAGCCTCGCTGCTGAACACAACTGCAGATTGAGCAGCTGGACGGTTGGAGGGGCGACTTGAGCCCAGCTGTCCTGCTCTCTGGCTTGGATTTTCCTCAGGGCCATTAGTTCTCTCACGTGCCGCAGCATAAATCCTTGTGTCAGCCTCTCGTCTGTAAGAGAGGCAGCAAGCCAGCGGGCGGCTGGAAGCACCATCAAGGTTCAAGGTTCAAGGTTCTTTATTGTCAATCTGACATAGCTACAGAGTAATTATGCAGTTGAAAATCTTATGTCACAGGCTTCTCCAACAATGCAACATAATAACATAACATAATAACAATAAGAGCAAGAGCAATACAAAAATAATAATAGTTATAAAAATGAAATAAAGTTATGATGTGGAATAGTGCAGTATGAGTCTATATACAAGTTATTGGAATGATATATATATATTAGGTATTAGATACATACTACTGAGTAGCAGTTGAATGTTTGAAGTTGTTTCAACAGTTCAATTTTTTAACAGTCTCACTGCCCGCGGGAAGAAACTGTCTCCGAATCTTCTTGTCCTTGCCCGGATGCTGCGGTAACGTCTGCCAGACGGCAACAGAAAGAACAGTTTGTGGCTGGGGTGATGGGGGTCTTTGATAATCCGTAGTGATTTCTTCCTGAGCCGCTGGGAGTAAAGGTCCTCCATGGATGGCAGCTCCGTCCTCCATGTGGCAGACAGGGGAATACTGGTGGCAAAAGAGAGTAGGATACATTCAGTGTCGTTTTTATACTTTCAGCTTTAAGACTTCTGATCTGACTTTTGGAAGGTGGCATTCAGTTATTCACATTTGATCAAAGAAATGTATTAACATATCCAATTTATTCAGTTTTGACGGCAAAAATGTTAAAAATGACCCTTTAGATCCTGAAATGTTTGCCTTTTTGGACCAATATTTATTCAGTGAATATTTTTATGCCACTAATAACGGTAATAATGGTGATTTAATTGCTGAATCTGCCGTGAAAAATATTGATTTGAGAGAAATGCAGTGAAGTGCACAATATTCCCCTGAGTAATGGTGTGGAGCAATAATGTAAAGTAGCATAAACTGGAAATACATAAGTGTATATATGTCCAAGTAAGTGAATTGTACCCATGTCCAATGTGGAAATAAATGTACTTTTCTGTTCACTAATCACAGTATGTTACTTTCCACCAACGCAAGCTGCCTAAGCGGTCATTACATTATCTAAATGTATTAACGATAAATCAGATGTATTAAAGCTGTATTTCCTTTTCAAACTACCATGTGGGTAGCACTTTGGTTTCAGCATTCTGAATCTGACTGATTCTTGTTCATCCAATAAACATTTTGTTATCTTTCTTTCCTCTAGGTCAATCCAGAGCAAACATGATCCCACTGAAACAACCCCGAAACATCAAAGCATCCAACGATACGTTAGCCTCCATCGATCTGGACAGCCTTGCTGACCAGCCGGCCCTGAAGGCAACACCACCCCCTCTACCTAAGAAGAACGTTCCTCGCTCCAATACCGAACCCAACCTCGCCGGCAAAGACTCTGTCCTGAGAGCGCGGGCTGAGGCTCGCCCTGGGGGCACCAACCTGAGTGTGGCCAACCCCATCTACGACCTGGACTCCACGTGGGAGACGGCCAGCCAGAGCTCCTCCCTCAGCTCCGAGCCTCATCGCGTCCACGACCAGGAGAGCGGGGACTCTCTGGAGAGATCAGCTGCTACTAACAAAGTCCGCCCCACTAACAGCGTGTCCTCTCTGGTTCCTCAACCTGCGTCTGCTGCACCCAGCGCCACGACGAGCAGAGAGAGGAGGGCCTATCTGAGCACAGAGTCTCTGGCCGGGAGGGGTCGTTCAGCGGGTCGAGGCGCTGCTGCTGCTGCTGCTGCCGGAGGCTCCAAAGCCCAGAGACCCGCTCTGTACCGGGGGTTGGACAGCTGGGACGAGGTGGTGGGGAGGATCCGGGGGCTCCACACGGACACGCTGAGGAAGCTCTCAGCAAAGTGCGAGGACCGCTTCATGGCCGGTCAGAAGGACCACTTGAGATTCGGTACTGACAGCTGGTCTCACTTCAGGCTGACCACCGGGAGACCCTGCTGCGAGGCGGGGGACGCTGTGTACTACACCGCCTCCTACGCCAAGGACCCACTGGTCAACTACGCCATCAAGGTGAGATATCTGACCTGTTTATAATATAATAATAATAATAATAATAATAATACATTTCATATATATACCACACTTTCTGTTTCGACAATGCATAAACAGTGTTTGTCATTTAGAGTTTGAAAGCAACATATATGCATACAAATGAGACAGTGTTCTGTACTGATTGTATGTACAAAGAGAAACAAGAAACACAAACAAACAATAACAACGACTAAAGTAATCCCCTACATTCACTGCCAGTGAGCCTCATACACACGAAAGCACACTTTAAAAACAACGTCATCACAAGGTGCTTCACAATGCAATTATACATTTTATAATTCTGCCCGACAACAACATTGAGATCGACTCCATCCGTTTTAATTCACAGTATAATGCTGGTATAATATGAATCTTCAAACATGCTTCCTCTCGCCTCAAGGCCTTTAGAGATTTTCTTAAAGTCCAGTGTTTACTGCAATGTCATTATACAGAGAATCATGCTCACTTCTCCTGCCAACTTTAATCTAATAGAATCCACATCATGTGTTTATTTAGCAGATACATGCTGCATCACTGCAACAATAACACATCTTTTAGTGACATCAAATCACTTACAAGATGACGGAACTATGTTGGTGATCATTAATCATTTCAGGTATGTTTCATCATTGACTTGCTCCAGCTAATCAAATGAAAGGATTGACTTGTTTCTGTTTTATAACATTGTAATTGTACTATGTTTTGACATTTCATAAGCCAATCATTAATCAAGGAAATCATTTGCAGATGAATCAATAATAAACCTAATTATAATAAGGAATCAATGTCAAACCACTAGATTTGAATAATAGAGTTGATTGTGTCCAGTTTATGGTACTACTAGATGCCCGAAAGTACCATTACTACGTATTACTACAGCTTTGAACTACACATACTATTGAAAACACAACTTAACTAACGTATACTTTGTCCCACTTTCCAATCAAAGCAGTTTTATTTTGCAAACCTATACATCTTCTTGCTTTAGGCCAGACTAAAGCGAGTTTTACACTGCATGCTTTGATCAAATCATGTAAGAAACTGCTTTTTTTTAGGACCTCATTAGTTTGAATTCATTAGCGTGTGTTTTTTGGTATTTGGCTTTTGCTTTCTCCCTGCGTTGAGATGGGCTAAGATGAAATGGGAGTCTGGTCGTTTCTCCAGTTGCCTTGGACACAATGAATCCTTGTATTTTGTTTTTGTGTTGAGGAATCTCCTCCCACTCTCTTAACCGAAGGTGGAGGAAAATGTTTGTGCGGAAATATTGGCACTTAATCTCCGAGCCTTCAGGGCACAACCTTGTACAATGAAACCTGTGTGTGCATGTGGATCTTTTTATTTTTTTTCAAATGAATAATTGTGTGTGTGTGTGAGCTTGCTGCAGGAGCTCTAAAGCTAAGCAGATATGGATGAAGGTTGCATAATTTACACCAAATGATCTGCGCCCCACAGCACTTCAAAGCCTTCCTATTATCAGCAGGCCTTCAAGAGAAAGTCTTGTTTTTTTTATGATGCTCATCCATAAAATGAGGCAACCAGGAGCAGCATACTGGTCCTAGCCTCCCAATTAATCCTTCCCCAACTCACTACTTGAATGTGCTCTTCCTCCTGCCGTCTTTCACACCCCAAGTGTAGTTGATCCTTCTGCAAATTAGATTTTTCATGCTGTGCTAATTATTCATAATCCACTTTTAGCATGTCTGTGTGGAATTCAGCACGTGAGTCAGTGTACCTGAAAGTATCTCTGAAATGTCAGCGTTAAGGAATCAGTAAAGTAAAAGGATTACCTGTTAACCTTGGTGTTACAATCAGGAATACTGCTTAGAAAATCTGATATATAATCGACGAAAAATGTACATATTTGTCCTTAAGCGTCATCGGGAAACAGCTGGAGTCTCGGAGCCAACATGTCTGAACAAACATCAGTAAACATGCACATTCCTAAAGCGTTACACAGTGCGTTTGGGAGAAAAAGTTCCTAATCCAACATGACAATTGAATGCACTGTATATAAATCATGCCCCATCACTGCTTTTTCTATAGCAGTCCCATTGTAAAATACTTTGAATCAGATTTGTTACGAGATTCGATTCGACTTTTAGATAAACAATTTTTGGGGAAATGAATACATTTTCTAATATGTAAACAAATGACCATACAGTGCACCTTCACAGACACACAACGCCATCATTAGCACTGCACAACATCAGAAATAATAGCTCTAATTCATATTAAACCTGCTCTCATTAGATTCATTTAGTTTTGGCCCCACAGATTCGTACTCTGAATCTAAAAATCTATTTCAATCATATTTTAGTCATTCAAATGTGTGCTTTAATTCAAGTGAAACATATTTGGTGCACAGGTTGAAGTGTGAATAAGATCATTACTAAAAAAGAACTCGCACCGTTCAGCCGAAAATATCTTAGTAATTATCTCATGACTTTTCCCGCTCTGCTGGTATTTTAGTAAATGTAGTGACGTGTGCAGAGACGATCATCACTCCTCTCCTCTGTGCTGTGATCACAGTGCAGACACACAGAGAGCTGCTGACTGTCTCTGAGCTCCAGACAGACGCGGTGGTGACAGCCTGAACTCTGCTCGCTGTTACGCTCCGCTGTAAATATTATTTGCGGAAATGTTCCAGAGAATTGGAGCAGGGCGGAGAGTTTTAAAACCTAAAACACATTTGGTTTCGCACTTATTGTGCATTCTCTGCTTACGTGGTGTATTTTGTTCCCTGATATTGTCTCCCTGTGAAGCAATTTCTATTAATTCAAATGTTATTTGGAATGAAAGATCTATAGTAATTGCAGAGGTTTTCACAAGTGCTTGGAAAGGAAACATTAACATGCAGCAACATCTATCAAATTAAATTATTGTTCATCATTAAAAAAAAAGCAAATGTCCTTATGTATCTTAACCCTTATTCATCTCACCTCCTTACTCTGTGGCTCTCAACCCCTACATGTAGATGTGAATCTTTAAAACTGGTGCAAAATATGAATGTCATTTTATTTTCAATTTTAATAATTCTCCAGAGCAGCTGTTTATTTTAGAAAACACCCCTTAGAGAGAAGGAATTTGTCTGGGACTATTTTTTTCGGAGTATTTGTACACATTCAGTGCTCGAGGGATAATTGCAGTGAGAAGGGAGGTGTGTGTGCGACTGACTGAATAAAGGACAGCGCCTGTGTTCATGGTAATAAAGGGAAATGATACCCAGTGCAACAGTGTGGCTCATTAGTGCACTTTTTATAGTTATTGGACAACAATGGAGCTCCATGGCACACGGTAATAATAAGTATCAGGCTGTGGAGACACACATTGAAGTCGGGTCTATTTTTTGCCCTTTCATTGGATCATTAGGCAACTAGACTAATACAAAATATCTTTAATATCAGTATTGGTAGTTTGGTAAATTGTATTTCTCCTATATCTTCATCATGAGAGGTTTTACAGCTCAAACCTTACATATATTAAAACCTTGTCTTTATTATGTTTATTTCTGCAGATCTGTCGGAGCAAAGTGAAGGAGACCCAGCAGCAGTTCTTCCACAGCCTGGCAGTGAGGCAGAGCCTGGCCGTGCACTTCAACATCCAGCAGGACTGTGGACACTTCCTGGCTGATGTGCCCGGCCGCCTGCTGCCCTGGGAGGAGGAGGAAGGTTCGGAGGTGGAAGAGGATGAGGAGGAAGATGTGAAGGAGAAAGAGAAAGACATTGAGAGTGTTACCAAGACAACAGACTCCAAAGCTCCAAACGGTAAACTAGATGAAACCCAAGCAGCGGGTCACATGAACACGGTGGGCCGCCTGAGGAGCCGCGTGGTGGTGATCACTCGCGAGGTGCCCTTCCAGACGGTGGCCGACTTTGTCCGGGAGGGCGTGGCGCGACACACCCACAACCCGGAGCTGTACGAGCGGCAGGTCTGCCTCCTGCTGCTGCAGCTGTGCTCCGGCCTGGAGCACATGAAGCCTTACCACGTGACGCACTGCGACCTGCGGCTGGAGAACCTGCTGCTGGTGCACTGCCAACCTGGAAACCCCTGGAATACGGACCCCCTGGAGCCCAACAACAACAACAGCAGCAGCAGCAGTGGGGGGAGCAGCGGTTCTGGTGCGACCCCCGCCGGTGCCGCTGCTGCCGCCGCCAACGCCACCTGCCCCGCCCGCCTCATCATCAGCAACTTCTCTCAAGCCAAACAGAAAACGGCTCTCGTGGCCTCCGACCCCGGAACGCTGCGCGACCAATCACGCCTCGCGCCGGAAATCGTCACAGCGACTCAGTACCGCAAGTGTGACGAGTTCCAGACGGGGATCCTCATCTACGAGATGCTGCACCGGCCGAACCCCTTCGAGGAGACGCCGGAGCTGAAGGAGCGAGAGTACACGTGGGCCGACCTGCCGCCGCTGCCCGTGCGCTCGCTCTACTCTCAGGGCCTGCAGCAGCTCGCCCGCCTGCTGCTCACCGTCAACCCCTCGGAGAGGATCCGCATGTCGGAGGCCCGGGCCTGCCTGCAGTGCCTGCTCTGGGGCCCCCGGGAGGACCTGTTCCAGGCGCTGGGCTGCAGCAGCAGCTCGGGGCCCATGTCGGGGGCGACCTCCAGCCAGCGCGAGGCCACCCTCCAGAACTGGCTGGACCTGAAGCGGACGCTGATGATGATCAAGTTTGCGGAGCGCTCTCTGGACGCGGCGTGCGGCGTGAGCCTGGAGGACTGGCTGTGCTGTCAGTACCTGGCCTTCGCCTCCACGGACACGCTGAGCCGGGTGGTGCACATCCTGCAGCAGCCCCAGCCCCATCCCCAGTCCCAGAGCCATCAAACACAAACCCTCCACCCGACGCAGCCACTCTGAGCTCCTCCAGCCAGCTGTTACTATGGCAACAGGTCCAACTTCCCCCCCCCGTGTGGCCCCCTGTGCTCAGGCTAATGTGTGATGTAAGCGTATAGTCAGCTTTGTTGTTGCAGTGCTCACATAAAACTCCTGGGCTGGGTGTGTCTGTGTTGCCTTCATGGACACATCGCTCCACAGAGTGAGGCGTTCACATCCATCACCATCACGGTTATTCTGAGCGCTCATTAGCAACAGCGGGACGGTTCAGAGTCCCGCAGATGAAGTGGCTGTCTAAAGCAAACTGAATCATTATTATCAGGTTGACGTCATTCTGGCTCCTGGCAGCGACTTCTCTTCTTTCATCACTTCATCTGTTGCTTCAGCCCGTCACATCTCAAGTGTTCAAACGCTAAAAGTTCCAGATTGAAGAGATTTACCAAATGCGTGAGGGGCTTTTTGAAATGTTTCAGTCCTTCAAGACTACAGATATCATGATATTTTAAATAGTTTGCATGGCAGCCGTCTCCACTCCATCAAATGGAATAAAGTGGGGATGTTATATTGTTACACATCAAAACTCTATAGTAATCATCTAAACGTCAGAAAGCATCAGAAATTGAGATATATCTGAGATTTTCAAAACACCATTTTCAGAAGAAGATAAAGAGAAAACACATATTTGGGGGGGAAAACTAATCAAAAAACATAAAAATGAAATACGATTTACCACTGAAGCCAAAGATCTGCCACAAATCATCCACTTAGATAGTTTAAAGATACTTCGACACATTTTTACAAGAGATGTTCATTTCAGTTTGTTACATAATGCAGTCCGACATGACAATAACTAGATTGGGTTTTAGCCCCAAAAGAACAGCCGTGACTCAAATCAGTGAGATGTCACTCTTTGTGGTGAAACGATTACAAAAGCCAGTGTGGAGTTGAACGATGTTGTTCCATGCCACACTTTACACTTTGAACGAGGTAGGTGGTTAACACTGAGCTAATTTCGGCTTATCTTTCAAACACTTTGAAGTGAAAATGGGACACAACTTCTTCGGCTGTTAGCTTGCTTTCTAGTCGGAGTATGTGCAATGACTATTTTTGTTTATTTCCTTTGGAGATAAGAACATTTCAAGCAGTCTTTTACTAACCTTCCATTAGTTCTGTGGCACATAAACTGATCCATTTCCTGCAAGTGAACCGGACTTCTTACGGTGGATGGGAGACAGGGATGTTTCAGGGTCTGTTGCGTTGTTTTTGTCAAGTTGTTTTCGGACGGTTCTGCGTTTACAGATGGCATTTTGCACATTCAGTGTGAACGTCCTCGGTGGAGACTGAACACGCGAGGGTGCAAGAGAGTTTGAGAAAAGTTCCCGGGGGAATTTGAGGAACTGGATTTGTTTTTGCAGCGTGTGGAATGTAAAGGTTTTGCGTGGACTGAAACAGAAATTTTTTTGGACCTGGTCTCATCTGCTTCGGAGACTCGCTCATCTTCCAGCTGAACCGCTTAGTTTCACATATGAAGAAGAATCATCCACAGCCTTGAAGAGAGAGAGAGACTCGCCTCCATTCCTCCTGCCTTGTTTCCCGTCCACTTTCTTGTTATCCTGCCAATACTGTACGACGGCATTAATGCTCACTTCCTGTCACTCAACGGATTCATTCTGCTTTAATTAAATGAGCTCTGTGTTATTGATCAGTACCTTTCAGCTTAGAGTCAGTGGTAGTAGTAGCCTATCAAGCCACCATGAAAACAACTCATTGTATCCACTTTTTACTGCGTTTATGGTGAAACCCCCTGAAAAGCATCGTTAATTCACATATAATCTGTACTTGGTGTTCTTTTCTCTGGTTATCTGCAGCTCTTTAGCTTGTGTCCTGAAATGTCCTGTGATCCTTTTTACTGCAGTACGAGACGGTCCACGGAGCGCAAACGAGACAAAGCAGGTGTGAGTGTGTTGCTGCATTTAAAGGTTTTGTGTACTAAGGAGTGTGTGTGGACAGCACTGGTGGCTGTCCTTGTATCTAGAGATTTAAGCCTTTATATAGTATATATAGTATAAATATATAACCTTTATCTATTTTAATCCACACACTATTTTGTCGCGTACGGAGCACCTCTTTGTCTGTCTTTTAGAAAGTCTAATTATCATTTTATTCATTTTGAAAGCTTGACTTTCTTCGCTTGTTTTGAAGGGAGGGAAATCATTGTCCTACACACAGGATTCATTCACACATATTCTTCTTCAAACACCTTACATACAGAACAATGTACAGTATTTTTACCCCCGTGTAAAGTTTAGGAGATGAACCACTTTGGGAAGAGGCTGGAGAATGACTTTTGAACGCACCATTCAACCCGACATCATCAGCTGTTTCTCTTTCTCTCTCTTTGCATTGTTGATTGCCACTGAACAGAAAAACTGAAGCTCTCTAAGGCTTTCTTTTAAAATGTGTACAGTTTGTCTCCTGGCCTGCCTCCATTTATTGTTGATCAAGTTAACCAACAGTAACAGAACAATAAATATATGTTTTTATAAATACACTTTGTGCCATTGTGCTTGATTTATTTACCCCTCTAGAGAATAACTGGAGTTTTAGTACAGATTGTAAAATAAAGGAGTGGTTTGAAGTAGGTCTGCACGATTTGGGGAAATAATCTAAGTGCGATTTTTCTGACAGATATAGCGATTGCGATTCGCGATTTTGTTTTTAAGCAACCCAACGGAAGTTTATTGTAAAATGCGGCCATATCTCCGGCTAGGAAGGTCGTATCAACGTGCTCCCGTCTCTAGCACCCCCGCAGCCCGAGCTACGAGTGAAAGAACTAAACTTACATGAAACTTCCGTTGGGTTGCTTTAAAGTCAAGCTTCAGTTTAAGATTCACCCTGTAATAGATGTATAACATGTGATGGAGCATTACTAACCTAACTCAGATGGTTTGTTTCACCAAACCATCTAGGAAAACTGCATTGGAAGCCATTTGGAAAGGGCAGGCACTTTCAAAAATACTAGGCAGGTGATTGGATCAATCTGTCTATCACTTCTATCATGGGCCACTTCTGATTGGTTAACAGTGGCTGGTACATGTGGAGCACAGCACTTCTGATTGGTGTGGATGACTGACACACAAGAACAAATAAATAAAATATTTTAAAAAGAATAAATAAATAATAATCGCAGGCTTTGCGATTTCATAATCGCATCATTTAAAATCGCGATTTCAATTTAAAATCGATTAATCGTTCAGCCCTACTTTGAAGTAGATTAAGACAGATTTGTTTGTGATATTTGAAGACTGTTTCAATTGTATTACGTACTTAAGTTATATTGTTAGGATTATAAGCAGTATGGACAGTGACACCCTTGGTTTATATTCATTTCGGACAATCTTTAGCATCAGTCTACTAAAGAATATGAACCCTCCTCAAGCCCTGGGCAGATAATGAGCCTTTAATTATTCATGGTGACCAAACTAAAACTGGAAACAGATTCATCTTCTCAGAGGTTTTGAACATATACCAAAACCACTGTGAATGTTTTAAACCAAAGAGAAACCTGCAATGAATTTAATTTGGTCTTTCTTTGTGAATTTTAAGAAGATGCTCATGTTAAGAGTCTTTGCTGACGTACCTCAAAGATCTCAAAAATGTTCTTTGAATCCAAAGAGTTTTGCTTTGATGTTTCTGTCCACATAGATTGATGCATCTTTTTCCAAATATTTGATTCAAGATTTAAAGATTTTTCTTTGATTAAATATCACAAAGCAAATCCAAAGCACAAACATTCCCAGAACATTTCATCCCAGTGAAATGATGGACTCTTTTTACATGAAACTAAAGCATGTTGTTGAAGTAAATAGTAGAGAAAAATTCACCAGGAGAGTTTTCTCGACTAATAGAATGAATTCTGGGGGTTGGAGCTTAGACTTTCCGACTTTCAATTTAAGGACCACCCTACGTGAGGCTAAACTTCAAGGTTGATGAGGGAGGGCTAAATGTTGTTGGAATTTGAATAAAATTCACCAGGAGAGTTTTATTGATAACGAATTCCGGTGGTTGGAGCTTAAAATAAATGAATTCGAAAATGTACATGGCACTAAGTTGTTTTGTACATTATTCTTTTTGGAACGAGATGTATTTCTGTGCCAACACTACAGCAGCTCCACCACCAGATGGAGACATTTAAAAGGTAAAAAATACAGAATGCACCATTCTCCTGTTGTTGAACCTCATATGAACTGACTAGCCTAAATGCATAAATGTTAAGCATATTAAGTCTTGTAAGGACACATTTATTTTCATTTTCATTTAATCGTTTATTTGAATAGGGACAATGCACATTAATGAACACTTTAGACAAATAATGCTTCAAGTTGAAATATTCCGGATTTTAGCTTTGAGCTAATTTCCATCCGTAGTCCCTGATCTTTTAAACCAAAAGATAAGATGTTGTCTTGACACCGATTTTCTAACATTCTTGGTCCCACTCCTCTTTGTAATCTAAAAGGAGGAAAGAGGAAATCCTTTCCACCTGCTTCTCAGTGTTTCATAGAAAAAATCGATTATGAGGATGCTTTTTATTTGTATTTCTGTCCCTTCAAAATGAATGTATTTCACCTTGCAGATCAGGGAGATTACCACAAGTGGAGATTGGGTTCGCAGGTGAGAGGTTTGTTTGATCAGACTGCACCACTGTTGGCAAACAAAGCTGAGTTTTAATCTCATTATTCCTGTTCATCATGCTCTGTTTGTTTTTCTGTCTTCATCCGCCATCCAATGTCACAGCTGCAGAACATGGCCCCAGAGGAAGAGACAGGATTCTCCACAGACACGCTTTAAGGCACATCAATCATCCAACATCAAAAGAAAAACATAGCCTCGCTGTCTCTGCATTGATATAACCTGTAACCAATTACAGTGTAGGTTTTCCTCATTGTGCCTTAGTGGAGAGAAACTCCCTCTGGAGAGAACTTTGGGGTTTTAGCCTTTGCAGACAATGTACATGCGAAATAACCAATAATACACTACAGGAGAAGGGGAACCCCAAAAAGCTTACTGTATGTTGCCTTCAAAACATATCAACCAGAACTTTTTCTCATAAATTACTCAATTAAAACAAAGACATTTCCCAATACTATAATACATTGTGGCTTTATTGATGCTAAATAATGCATCAGTGCTTTAAGTTTCAGTAATAATTAATAACATTGTGAATATCCCTCTGCTGATGTTTATCATCATACAACTCGACTAGTGATCTATAAAGCAATCATGCATGATTTATGAATGAATCATTAACCCCTTTATATTAGATGCCTCATTAGAAAGTGGCACTTTGAGATTTTACTTAAGCATTCAAGTGTTATAAGTAGGCCTAGTGAAGAGTACTTTAATGTACTGGGAGAGTATGAATAGATAGCCTTCAGAGGTGTTATCATCACTGCATCTGAATCATCTGAACTGCTGAAATAATGATGAAGAAGAGGGGGTCATGTGGGCGTCAAGTTAAGGAGAGATGATGAGTAAGAAAAGTTTGAATGTTCCTGAATCACACACCTCCCACCCCAGTTCCCCCCCCCCCCCCCCCCCCCCCCCCCCCATGCACCGGTTGCATAACACCAAACTGTGTGTGTGTGTGTGTGGCAGCAGGCAGGTCTCCCTCAGTGCTGCTGTGGAGCTGTGAGGAGGAGGAGGAGGCGGTGGTCGTGTTATCGAGCGGCCCGGCGGTGGAAGTTGCGCTGCAGGGGAGGGACTTTCTTCCTGCAGTCGGTGGGTCGGGGGTTAGCTGCGGCTCGTACAGAAATGCCTCAGGCAGCAGCTTTTCAGACTCCAGCGAGCAGCAGCAGACGGACACATCCGAGTGGAAGATAAACCATCCTCCTCCTCCTCTTCTGCTTTCTCACCATCCCTCCTCACACTCCTCCCTATCTTCCGGGGGGAGTGTGGACTCCATCCCCGGGATAGAGAGCCCGGACCGGCACCGGTGCCATTGTATGGAGAGAGGCGCCTGAAGAAGGGAGAGCGGTGGAGTTGGTCTATCCCCCTCCTCCTCCTCTTCCTCCTCCTCCTCCTCCTTCTTCTTCCCTACTGCACCAAAAGAAAACTCCGGGTAAGAAATGCGTGTTCACTCAGCTGCAATACTGCTCCGTGCGCAACATGCAACATGCATCATGGCGAGACTTGGCACTTGCATGCGTATTTTTCTCCCCTGCTTTTGTATTGTTAGAGAAGGGATTTAATTAAAGCATGAAGCATTAGCTGAGGCAGACGGGGTGGCTTTTTTATTTTGGCACAACGTTTCCTAATCCGCGACTTCAATCGTTTCTCTTAGGCGATTTAAATATTGTTTCGCATCGCAGCTCCACCTGAGCTTTAGGAGCAGGTTATCGGCTATGGGAGCTTTGTTCAGGGGGGGAAAGTAAAGATAGGAAACATAACACCAGGGTGCAGGAACTGTCATTTCAGCACCACTCTGCTGAACTCTAACTGTGGCCTTACAAAAAACTTAGTGCAGGTTTGATGAGCAGCTTTAAGGATGTGGGAAAGTCAGGGTCAGCCAGGTTTGTGTTTGCAGGATAGACCCTTAGGCTAAGGGTTTGAATAAGACTGGGTATTACTTAAGGGTCAAGGATACAGAGTGTAGTAGGTTTTACAGAGTGTAAAGCTCAATAAATAAAATCAACTTAACTGTAAGATGGTGTTGCTACCATGTACCAGGATCAGACTTTTTACAACACCTAATTTTGCTGAAAATGTTTATCTCCAACAGTTGTGTAAGAACCTTGCGTATAATGTAGTCTGATTAGTGTTTAGAAAGACCTGACTTGGTTTCCAGGTCAAAACCACGTATTTGTATGTATTCGTTATGCTCTTAAGGAGTATTTTATGCAATTGTTTACAAAGTCAAGAAAACAGGAAATGCAGTGCGAATGATTGAAACGTAGATCTCTCCCATTGTCAAACTGGGGTTGTGGTTTAGTTTGATCAACACAAGTCTCTTTAAGCATTTCAATCATCTGAATAGATCTTGGTTTAAATGACTCACAACTAACGCGTTATGCAACCTGTGACAAGGGGTCGTGAGAAGACATTGATTTGCTTTAAAGGGTCACTATAGCCATAAAAGGTTGTGAGTCATTATCTCAGTGCTTTTGATCCGTGCTAATTCGATGAAATGTTTAGTAAAGCTCAAGAGAGTTTGTCCTTTGTTGCGTTCGGTTAGCAAAATAATCAGTCCGCCTATGACGAATTCAGAGGTTTTTAGATTCTGCGACTTTCTGAGCTGGTTGTGGTCCAATTTCCTGAAACTAAAGTTGACTGATTGTCCGTCTAACACTTTCTTGGCTTTGTAGACGTCCTGTTTCCCCCTGAATACCCACACTCATAATATGTATACATTTGACCTCTTGGCTCCCTTTCTGTGTTCCATCTAAAAAATGAACCGCTGTGTACTAATTACCAGGAGAGCTTTCTACATCAATTCACAGTGTAAAGATGTGTGGGAGTTGCCTTCTGGTCCTTTAAGCTGTGGTTAATTGAAGCACATTCAGAGTCCTCTTTGCTTCAGACATTTCAAACTAAAGAACAACACATTTTTTTAACATGATGCCAAAAGTCTGAGTCCTCTCCGGCTCCTCGAGTGTGTTCCCCGGAGCTTTCTAATGGTAATGGAAGTCTGTTTGAAGTGACTTGGCAATAGAGGTAAAATATCCTGGTGTGTGTGTGTGTGTGTTTTTGTGTGTGTGTCTCACTGGGAATCTCGCCTCCTCCCCGGCGTGAAATACGACCTGCTCAGAATTCAATCCCTTCTCCAGCACTTGCAATCATCTCAGCCATTCGTTTAACTCTCTTTCTCGCTCTGTCATTGGCTTCCCCTGCTTCCACACACAAACACACACATACACACCACACACACACACACACAGCTTCCCCCTCCGTGTGTCCTTGTTGAACTCATAAGAAAAGTGTTATTACATTTAGTAAACTGAGAGCACTTTGATGAACCCCTGAGATGTGGCTCTGTGATTCTACTGTAGCGGCTGTCTGCCGTTATTAAAAAAGCCTCTCTCCTCCCATCGACCTGGCTTACACCTTCATTTATCGCCTCTAATATTTCCAGAATGGATCATGTAATGGATTGCCTCAGTTTATGGAGGAGGCGTGTGGTCAGAGCAGTGTGCTGCCAAATGCAGCTACAGCTCACTTCTCCTGGAGATGCCTCGAACGCAGCAGGCTGGGGAGCAATCGTAAAATAAAATATGGCACGATGAATCATATTTATGAGAGAGAAGTTAGCAGAAACTGTTGTTTATATCCTCTTCTACATCTGTATTGTAAATATGTAGCTAGATCTGGTTGCCTTAGAGTGGCTCTGGCCAAAGATAAGAAAAAACAAATGAATTACATGCATATCTAATCGGTTTAATCCAAATAAAATCCAAAGTGCAAAATTGATCATTAGTTATTTTACAGGGGGTTATGTACCACTCTATGTCTTGGCTTGGAGCGATCTCCAGCCATTAGTCGTGTAAAAGTCGAGCTTGAGAGATGCTAGTAGGCAGATGTTGTTACCTTTGAGTTTCCACTCTTCATGCTAAGCTACAGAAGCTAACCATCAACCGGCTCCACTTCATATTTACCATACAGACATTAGAGTGGTATTGATTTTCTCATTTTACTCTTGGCAAGAAAAAAAAAAGTGCATTTCTCAAAATGTCCTTTAAATTATTCCCAATTCCCAAAGTTGCTCATCTCATATGGCTGAAAATACTGTTTTGATTTCAAATACACAGTCTCTAAATACAGCACATATTCAGTACATGTGTGTGTTCCAGTAATTTTCAATATCTGTGTAAGCAAGCATGATAAATAGTTTGTAATAACACTTCAGTTTCAACAGCCGCACCACAGCAGGCAACCAGCTCTGGGCCTGATGCTCATGTTCAGGTTCCTATTTGTATGTTGTGTCTCTACTGTGACATGTCTCCATGCTTTAATGTTCAAAAAGCTCTTTATTTTTCTCGTACTGCCTGTGCTGCAGCACCTCTTTCCACCCTCTGTCTGAAACCAGAGCGCTGCTCTGATTGGTTAGCTGGCCGGCTCTGGTTGGGATTTTAGCCTTTGCAGACCATTAACATGCACACAAATCTATAGAACACACTACATGAAAGGCAAAACCCCCCAAAGCACAATAGGGCTTAATACATTTCCTTCTGTCCAATTTCTGATTTGATCATTTCCGAGTAAAGATTAACCTAAGTAGAAGAGTTGAAACATAAAAAACTGTTACTGTCCCAATACATTTGTATCTGACTGCAGATACTTAATAGTTAATCAATAAAGCAGTGGCTTGGTTTCAAATCACTGCTCTTCCCTACTTTGGAGAGTTTAAGCTTCCATCCAGCTTGAATGGACCTTTTTCCCAAACATTAAATTGGGTCTGACAGATTCTTTTGAAGCACTAAGTGCTTTTCCTGTCCTGTATTAGCCTAATTGTCAGGTTGGTAATCTACTGTACTAAGTAGTAGGTCTAATGAGTTTGACACTAAAGCTCCAGGAAGACATTAAAAATGGCAAAAGTGATGACAAATCATTGGCCAAGTCCATCCAGGTGTGGAAATAAATGGGAAACTGAGGAATTTCTTAAACTACTTTTCTGATTGTAGTCGGATGCAACCATGTGTGAAACCATGAAGAAGCTGATTCTGAATAATAACACACAGTCAATTAAACCAAACAATTAATCTATTTACATTTTTCTGATTAAATTGTGTTGTAATGCTTTATTTAGTCAGCAGGCCTTTTACCGTAAGCTGATCCCAAACTGCAGAAAGAGCTTTTCTCCCTCTCTGGCAAAGAAGAAAAGAAAATATTTAACGGGCAGATTTTTGGAAACAAATCAAATTCCCGTTGTTCGAGTTGTTTAAGTAGCACTCTCCTGAATAAAGAAAGAGGGGAAATTATGCTCTGCTTGCTGTCACACTCAAGAACAACACTTCTGTTCACTTCATTTTCTGTTAAATTGATTTGCAGACATCATCTTTTGACAAAGAAAATTCAAGTGCCTTTGCTCTTTTCATTGTTACGTTATCATACAATTAAAAGTATAAAGAAAGCGTAATCAGACAGTATGAAGATGACTTTTGTAGGGGCAGGTACAATAAGACTGTAAATAAAAAAAGTGCCATGTGTGGAATAAAGAAATTAACAAAAATAACTTTGGTGTTCGGATCTGATCTTTTGCTGTTTCTCCAAAACCGATCTACACACTACATTTGATGAAGAATGACTCCTATATTTCAGAGACATCATTCAGATCAACTTCAAATATAACCTTCTTAGCCCAAGTAAAAATAAAAATGTTATCCAATTAAGTGCGATGGTTAAAGTGATTGCAATGTTGTTCATGGTCCCATGCAGTGGATTAACTTCCTCTAGGCCACCATAAGAAATGTTTTGTAATGATTGACATTTCTTTGCACCTGTTGGATGGATTGATTTGATATCCAATGTATGCATTCATGATACATAACTTCTATGTTTAATTAATAACTCTTCTATGTATTGACTCAAGTCGCAATATGTTGCTTAACCTAAAGTATTATTGTTGCCTGAACAGGTTGTGAACTTCAGGGACTCACACAGTTTCTCTTATCGCTTGTTTTGCTGGACATTCATAGTAAAACACAAATAACATCTTTTAGTAAGATAACATACCAACCACTGTATGAGAATATGTTTATGCAGTTACAATGACTTAACGTCAGTGTAGTAGCATTGTCATTGCGACTATGCTAGCATGCATAGCATTTTCCTCAAAGCTAGCATGTCTGTAGCCTCCTTATTGAATGTCCTTTGCAGCTACTTCAGCATTAACGTGTGTGTTTCAGTACATTCGCTACACTTTTAGCAGCCTTTAGAAGTTGAATGTTTGCGTTCAGGGTTTGTTGTTCTAACTCTGAGTGATTGAGCGGATTAGCCGCATCGTGCTGGCGCCATCGCTGACATTTAAAAGCCGGCGCCAGCTACTTCCACTTACCCATGCACCAAGAGCTGTCCAAACCAGGAAGTCAAAATGAAGCTGGCATGGAAGCTGTAGATGTGTGAGGA